AATCCCATCACTGGATCAGATGCTTGGCAACTGACTCATATTTATGACAATTGCAGTGTCCTGGGCTCATGTGATTCCCCTTTTGCAATCTTCTGACAAGCAAAGTCAATGGGGAAGTCCGATTCACTTAACAACTGTGTTAAGAAATTAACAATAGTGATTCACTAGCAAGAAAGGTAGTAAAATGGGGTAAAACCATCTCCTTTAGCAATGTAAAGTTTGGGTTCAATTGTGGTTGTACATCGAGTACTACCTGTGTAGATAAGAGTTTCTCTACCTTGTCAATTTTATGATATGTGGACTTCAGTATGCTGGCTGGGGAATGCTGGCAATTGAAATCCACACATCTTAAAATTGTCAGGGTTGAGAAACACTGATATAGATGATGCTAAGCCAGATCCAAACAAACTATTCTAGTTGGCTGTGCTGTATCAACCTTAATGATGGTAGAGAGGAAGAGGAAAAACATATAAGTGATGGTAAAAGTCTAAAATAAATAATATTAATGGATATTAAAGCTGCAGTGTATGCAAAAGGAAGACTGGCTTTTTAAAGCACAACTATTCTAGTTAATACCTGGAATGTGGGACAAGAAACTCTTGTTCCTCAATCCAGAAGGCTCAAAAATGCATACTAATTTTTCACGCCAACAGCGGTTTAATATGGATGTCCAGTATTAATTAGTCTTGCCTTTTGCACCACTGTGATATGCAAAAAAATAAGGGAATTGTTGGAGATGGGCTGGTTGTAGGGGGGGAGGCAAGATGTGATTGAAGGCCCATTTGTTTTAACACTTGCATACAAAATAAAAGGGAGCTACGTTTCAACCACACAGTCACAGCCATTATTTTGACTTTTGTAACAAGTGTCCCTGTGTAGATCCTTTATTTTACCTTTTGTGGAGGGCAGAGCAGGGACTTTAGACAGGCTTGATTCCTGGTGACTACCTAGCTGAGTCCTTATAGTATCCTTGGCAATATTTTCAGAAGTGGTTTGTCAATTCCTAGGGCTGTGAAGAGAGTAACTGGCCCAAAGTCACCTAGCTGGCTGCTGTGTGACAAAAGCAAGGTTAGAGCTCAAATTGTCCTGGTTTTTAGACTAATGTTTTAATCACTACAGCAAATTAGCTCTCTTTTGCAACCTACAATTATCCCTTAAAACTTCATCTGCAAATAGTTGTGGAGCATTTGATGACCTTGAGGAATCCCAGTTATAGATATGGTTCAGCTGAATGGTATACAGTAGTACTTGCATGCTTATATGAATACCAGCAGAGGCAGTGCAAGACAGTATTATCTTTTGTCTGTAAGATAAGTTCCTTAGGCTCTGACACAGCATTTCTCAATCTCAGCAATTTTAAGATGTGTAGACTTTGATTCTCAGAATTCTTCAGCCAGCCTGGCTCGGGAATTCTGGCAGTTGAAGAACTCACATTTATTTATTTATTTATTTGTTCAACTTGTATGCTGCTTTTCTCTGAAGACTCAAGGACCATCTTAAAAAGTAGTCAAAATTAAGACAGAACTGGGAAAACGTATCAGTGAAATATTTGACCATGAATACAGAATTAATCACAGAATGTTAACCAATAAGTAAATACAGTTTTATGAGAAAAAAGCTGGAAATCATTTTGTCAAGAGGTGTGGGAAGCTCATAGTATTACAAAGGGGCAGCATTCTAGCTATTGCAAAGAAACATCACAACTGAAGAGGTAGAGCTTGACAAGAGAATCAAATGGGCATCTTACTAAAAAGTGGGCAGGGAGGGGAAAGAAATTGTGGGAGTAGAAGATTGATATTGGCTGAAATTATCATGTTCTTATCTGGTCTTTGCAGCTATGCCTTAAACAGCAACCTTGTAGGCAGAGATAAGCTGATGAGATTTCCTGAATTCAGAAGGGAATGAACTGTATCTCCTAGTTACATGAAGAAAAAGTTTATCCTAGCAAGGGCCCCATGCTTTTGTCCTTTGTAAAGGAAGAAAAAGTTTAAAGATTTATCATGGAGGGTGGATATATGTAAGAAAAAGAAACAGACCGGGATAATCAGTGATGTATAGTAATGGAAAATGGAGTACCTAGATTTAGTAACCATACAAATAGTCCATAATTTACAACCATTCGTTTAGCAATTGTTTAAAGTTTCAATGGCACTGAAAAAAATACTTAACAATACTTCACCATCACATGATCAAAATGTGGGTGCTTGGCAACTAGCATGGCAACTTGTATTTACCAAGGTTGTGTGTCCTGGGTCATGTGATTATCATTTGCAACCTTCCCCAGCTAGCTTCCTATAAGCAAAGTCAGTGAGGGAAGTTGGATTCACATACCAATAGCATGATTCACTTAACTGTGGCAAAAAAGTGATAAAATTGGGCACACGTTATTTAACAACCACCTTGGTTAGCAATGGAAATTCTGGTCCCAGCTGTGTTTATAAATTGAGTACTACCTTAACCAATTTCGTTAAGGTACATTGTACATTATGTACAATGACAATAAAGGCTTTGAATAATAACCTGTATACTAATTTCTGAAAGAGGAACTCACAGTAACATGATGACAACTGGCCTTTAACATATCGGAATACTCTGCTGCTTATTTTGACCTGCTCCTGCAATGTATAGAAATTTAAATAAATAATAATCCATTTGTAAAATAGATTTCAGGATTGCTGTAGTGGACAATGAGTTTGGAAGACCATGGTTTGAGTCACTTCCAGAATGAAAATAGTTTATCTCATTATATCTTCTGATTAGACAGGTTTATTGCAAACTTGGAAGTATGCAAATATCATTAAATATTAATATTAAAAATAAAATAAAATTTGGAAACTCTGAAGTTACATAACTTTTGATCTTGCTCATGAGATTTTCTCACTTTGAGAGATGGGATAAATATAAACCAGTCCTATAAGAACATGAATTAAAATAGACTGTTGAAATGGGACTATAATATCCCAATGAATGATTATAGAAATCTAATTGATCAGTCATTCTATCTCTGTTCTGTTCTGTCCTGTCTCTACCACTCTGAATGTAGTTTAAAGAGACAGCAATTGAACTGAGTTATTCCAATTATTTTCAAATTTACTTGACAACAGGATACTGTAAATGTAGGTACATTTACAAGTATATAGTTTGCATAACACTACAAATCAATCAGTACTTATCCTTTCTGGCAAATAATTGAACCTGGAGAATTGCCAGCCAATGATTGGTCATTTGCCACTCAACAACTAGACACTTTCTCATAACTTTCACATTTATGTCAAAACCCATTCTTTCTTCTCTTTATAAAATAAAATAAAATAAAATAAAATAATTTGGTAGCATTTCCTGTTACTAAGTCAAAATGATTTGCTACTGTGTTTAAAACTTATCATGTTGGAACTCTGGCATTTCTGCTTTCGAGCTCTGTCTAATTATGCCAGTATGAAGGAATCCCAGGAGATGAGAGATGGAAGGATTTCTTGCAAGAACATAGACTGCATGACACAGGATAATGATATGTTGCCGGTTCTTTAGTGGCATTGACTGCCTTGAAGCAACTTCCACCTGTAGGCCCAGCACTTGGCACAAAGATTTATTGAAATTGCTTGTAATTTCAAGTCCCCTGTTACGTTATTTTATAATTTATACGGGTTCACTTCACTCAGATGGTAAACTGATACTTTTGTGAAACTTTAGAATTGTCAAGTAATGATGCAAAATCCTAATCTATTTATTAACTTCATATGTTGCCTTCTGTTTAGAAGAAAACACCCAGGGCAGTGACAATTAAACAATAAACATAAATAAAAAACAAAACACAAATAAAAAGAAAAATAGAAAAACAAATATTGATGTCTCTAGTGCACTGTAATAAGTTACATTATATCATGCGTTACAGGATGACAATCTTGCTAAGATGTTTCAAGCAATACATATAATACAACCAAAAGTGCAATAAATATTTAAAAAGAAACACAATTCTAGGGTCCTTGTAATAGGGCAGTTTATAGCAACAGCCGGTTAGTGGAATAGGAAAAGGACATGATATTTTGGTGTCAATCTTGTTTATCTTCCTCTTTTCTTGGAAGGCATCAGATGTCTATTAAGCATCATTAAGAATCCATCCAATCCATCCAATTTGGTATCCTATCCTACCTGCGAGGAGCCAAGTACCTTCAGGATACTTAATGTACCTAAATAGGGCACATTAATGGGGAAATGATCACCCTCCAGATTGCTGTGCTACGGTATACCTCCATTCCTCACCATTAGAGAGATTGGTTGGAACTGCTGGAACATGTAGTTCAGCAATATTTTGGAAGTCCACAGATCCTATCCCTAAAGAGAACAGTCCTTACTAGTTATTTTTGTCTAACATTGAACATTTACACATCTTGCCTTTAAACATGGAAATTATATTTAGCGCTCATGATTCATCAGGGTCAATTGTTACTAAATTGGCCGCATTCAAATCCCTTCCCTTTGCATGCACTGTCAAAGAAAATAAATAACATGCTGTTATAAATTTGTGTGGCTCCTAAAAATGGATTAATTGATTAAAATGCATTGATAGGTCTACATATTATTTATATACTACTAAAACTCATGTTTGTTTGTGTATAGCGTTTAACTGGGCAAAAGAGTGCATCTTAGGGCAATAATTTTTGAACCATATTACAGAATGTGCCCAAAATCCAGAACTCATAAGTGCTGTGTAACGTTATAAAACATTTTATGGCATTAAAATTATCACATTTTATGACAAGTATCATAAACACTTTTAATGTTTGTGCTACGTAGTTCAGCAAGGGCTATTTTCAAATAGATACATCTATAAATATTCTTTTTATTTTTAAGAACTTTTCCAGTGGAGGCAGTTCCTTCAAAATTCTGCCATTGGTAAGGCAATATCTTTGAAATTATGATCCAACAGGTCATAGGCAGACTAATGATTGTTAAAAACCCAACCAAATTTACTCTGCCTCTTTAATTAATAGGTATCTCACCTTTTTCAGTTGTTCCATCTTCATTAACCTTGATTTTTGCTGTTCTGTGCAAACACGACATCTTGGATGATGTCAATATAATAATTTTCAACACAGCAAGCCTCCCAATTTTGTCTATCTTTCATCACTTTTCTATTCCATAATAAGCTGGCAAATATGTGATGGTCTCTTTTAGCTGAGATAGTAATTTTTCTCATAATCCAGAAATGATGGCATTTCCTCTTTCTTTATTACTTTCTCATTCCATTTCCCTTCCTTCAACTGTCTTTGTCTTTTCTATCTCTTCTTTTTTTTACTTTCAGTCCTCCTAGCAACTGTCTCCTAGCAACTGCCTCCCAGTATCAGTTTTTGGGACTTTTTCCAGTTTTCATAGTTCTGTATGTGTTAACTGTATACATCCTGTTAACACTCAAATTTATATCTACAAATATTGATCTAATTAAAAAAGAAATAGAACATTCTTATTATAATGAGATATTGCAAACCTTTCAATTTCCTCTGAAGGAAAGTGAAAGTGAAAGCAAAATTTTCCACTCTCTGGAGATAAGAAACAGGTTGTAATTGTAATATGAGACAGGCATATCAGAATTTTTTAATACTTCAGTTCTCCTCAGTTCATCTGTGTGTGTTATATTCGACTACCCACTATATAGCATTGAGCTTCCTGCTCCTACCGTGTTTCTCCAAAAAGACGACCTATCTTGAAAAGAAGCCCTATCATGTTTTTGAGTGCATGTGATCAAATTAAGCCCCACCCACAAAATTAGCCCTAATTAAGGGTGCAGGGGGTAGGGCGAAGCACAGAGGTAAAAAATAAGCTAGGGTGGGGATGTGGGGGTGGAGCTGCCCTACTTATCAGGCCTCGCACATCCCGACACCTGCTTCATCTTCTTGTGCAGCCACTTGCTGCCACTCGCACGCATCGCCCTGGCCTCCGTTTTGCCTTCAGATGCCTGCAAGAAGGCATCTGCAGCTTGTAACACAGCTCTGGATCAATAAGCAGCTCTATTATCAGCTGCAGAGGGCTTTCCGGAAGGCATTTGCATGAGACAGTAGGCCATAGATTTAGTTGGACTTGGCATATAACTCAAAGTAAGAATCCTTTCCTGATTAAGGTTGGCCTAAAAAACCATGCAGCCATTGTTTGTCTTCTGCTTATTTATGTTAATTATGTCTCTATGTTTTAGCCAAATCCAGATACAGAGCTAGGTGACAGAATGGAGGTGTTCCTGCAATTGCAAGTCTGCTGTTTTCCAGATTTGACTTTCAAATTCTCTGTCTGTCCAGAGATATCGTCCTGAAGGCTAGCAAGCCCCTTGTTTCCTCTGTTGATAGTTCTGTATCTGGAGCCATTGATTGTTCAGTAATCTACACTTTCTAAGCATTATGCTCAGCATTACGCTCTCTACATGGGGCTCCCCTTGAGGTGCATTCAGAGGCTCCAACTGGCGCAGAGTGCGGCCACGCGGGTGGTTATGGGAGCAACATGGAGCTCCCATGTAACACCTCTCCTGCGCGAGCTGCACTGGCTCCCGGTGGTCTTCCGAGTGCGCTTCAAGGTTTTGGTTACTACCTTTAAAGCGCTCCATGGCTTAGGACCTGGTTATCTACGGGACCGCCTGCTACCACCAATAGCCTCCCACCGGCCAGTACGCTCCCATAGAGAGGGGCTCCTCCGGGTGCCGTCGGCCAAACAATGTCGGCTGGTGGCCCCCAGGGGGAGAGCCTTCTCTGTGGGGGCACCTACGATCTGGAACGAGCTCCCCCCGGAGATACAGAGGATCCCGGATCTTTGCACCTTCCGTCGCGCGCTTAAAACGTTTTTATTTCATCAAGCTGGCCTGGCCTAAATCATCTCCTCTTTTAAATTTAAATTTTAAACATAAATTTTTAATCTGTTTAATTATGGGGTATTTTAAAATTCAGCCTAAATTATTTAATTTGTTTTAATTTATTTTAGATTTTGTATTTCCTGTGTTTTATTTTCTGGCTGTTCACCGCCCTTCGGGAGAAGGGCGGTATAGAAATTTAATAATAAATAAATAAATAAATAAACAGACATGAATGTCTCCTAGGTTTCTCACCTATCCAGAGAAACGGAGAGTTTCTAGGACAAAAGAGAAGACATTTACTGCTGTTTTTATAAAAACCTCAAGGGTCTCAGCAAGTCAAACCTGAGGGCAATGGGTGGTTTAGAAATATAAAATATAAATAAAAATTATTGCAGGCTAGAGATACATTTTCTCTCTCATCAGGATCACAACTGCCTTCTACATTAAAAGGCCCAGTCTCTGTGCCTCTATCTGGAGGAGTAATCAGGTTGCTAGGACAGAACTGAATTTTTTCAAGAACTTAAGTACAGAGACATGATTTAGCAGTAAGGCTTTGAATCCAAAGAAGGCCAGGAAAAGGGACTCTAAATCCTTGCAGTGCCACAGCCATTTGAGCTCTTTTTATTTTATTTTGTCTGCTGGATTCAGGCCACTTCCTGCTCTCTAGCTATTTTTAAGAAAAAATAATAATTGTAAAGATAAACTTTGAAATTTGTCTTCAGGGTGGATAAAAGTTCTCTCAATAAGTTATCCCACTCTCTTGAAATAAGTTTGTGCTTGTTTTATCTCCAGTTTTGCAGCAGAAATTATAAAATTGAATGTGATATGTCAAGCTGGGTTGGATGATGTTTGCTGCTCAGTGTCCTACAAAGGTGCAGGAGCTGACAGGTCCACTTTCGTTCTACTCAAGTGGAAAGCTTGTGATTGATCCATCTAAGGAAAGAAAAAGCGGTATCTGCTAATATTTCATCGGGGAAAGATTCCAAAAGCCAAGGAATAGGTGGGCCAAGCCAGTGCAGATAATCCATGGTTGAGATGAGGTAAGAAAGAAGAGATGGTCCTGCCCCACTTCTCAAGTATCAAGCCTTTCAGAATGTGAACTTGCTGCAGCGTCCCTTGGAATCTTAGCACTGCCCAAGCGTGTAACACGGCTGCAGGACTATTTTGGAACTGGGGACATCTCATGGTAATTATTATAACAATTTCTGTCACCACCTTTGGATTTGCCAGTTTCGCCTCCAAGTTTGGATCTAGCACGTGGGTCTGGTTGCTTTGGTGCTCATAAATATACGTCTCAAAACAAGAAGCTGTCAAACAGCCCACAGAAAGATACAACATAAGGAAAAACAATGGAATTGGAAAGATGGAAGAAAAGTAGTTGTATCTCACTTTCTTTAGTGTACAGATATCTGGGAGACTTCCATCTTCTTGATCACGAGAGGGCAATAATCAGGACTAGAATTAAATCAGATTGAAGAAACTATGTATAATTAGCTTTAAGAAAAGTTGACTAGGAGGATGATTTGATACTCTCATGTTTAAAAAGAAGGAAGCCAAGACTATTCTCTCATGAGAAGACAGGATTCAGATGATAGATTTAAAGTAGTGGAAGACAGTTTCCAATCCCACAAAAAAAACCAAAAAAAAAACAACAACCCACACCTTTTATTTAAGAGAAGAGTAATTACTCAGGAAAGCCTGACTTCTATTTATTGAATGAAATTCAATATTTTACCACAATTTTACAATAAGACTTTCTGGTGACTGAAGCTCTGTAAGGTTTTTGTAACTTTATAATTGTAAGCCACCCAGAGGTACCTTGGGGTAAGATGGGAAGCTAAGGTTAAAAGATTGTTAAGGGTATGGATCCAAAGAGAGCAAAATTATTTTAATTTTGTATGTTGCCTGCCTTAACTTTGGAGCAGTTGAATGTTGAGTAAGGCAGAATCCTTCATTACCAAAACTTCATTACTTCTACTGTCCAGGCCAAAAAAAAAAAAAAAAGCAAGCTACAACTTAATCTATTTTTAAATGTAAAGAATTTATCACCTGAACTGGTATATAAATCTCTGAGATACGAGAGGTCATTCTCAAGGTGTCAGACTTAACTATGAGTGTTATCAGTCAGTTCCACTTGATGAACCTTTAATTTGGGGACATCATAATTATTGTAGTAATATATATTATATAATAGTACATTACTATAAACATACTATATATTACTATATTACATTACATTATTATATTTTGCTTAGCACTACAACCCTTCTGTAATTTTTGTGTGTGTGTGTGTGTGTGTGTGTGAACTACCTCTTTTAAGGTTTTAGACAGTTCACATTAGATTAAATTAATTTTGTTATAGTTTCTCCAAATTTCAAATTTTTTACAGCTGAGAAAATCCTGACTTGCTGGACAGGACAAATGTCTAATTTGCCAAAATATCTTGGCCGGCTATGGCATTTTGTACCTTGGCAGTTATTTTTCCCCTTCACTCCAATTTGCCAATTTTTGCTTTTAGCAGCAAAATGGTTTTTTCTCATCCTAGCAACCTGTTGCTTTGCAGTCCCTTCATAGAATCCTGCCTCTGCCAGTTCTTGGATCAAGTAACATAAGCCTAGTCATAAAATGGCTGCTTTCATAAAATGGCTACCAACTTGGTTCACAGTTCAGTCCTGAAAAAAAGAACATGTGCCAAATCAGGGGTTCTAGCATCCCATGTCCAAAGATTTTTATAGAGAAAGAAAAGTGGGTTGAGCATGTGAAAAAGGTATACAGAGCAAACAAATACATATGCTAAAATGCAAAGTTAGATATATTGTGGGGGCACAGGAGTAAAAAATCAACAGCCTAATTGTACAGCTTTCTTGTTTTATTAAAATAAAGATCCTACTATTGTACCTTATAGATTTTTGGTTCCTCCTGGGTCCGATGTCATTGTGGATCTGATGGGTTGAAATAGGATGTTTGGCAAAGACTTCTCTGTACAGACATAACCAAGGTCTAGCAATTTGTGTATATAACTGTTGAATAGTGGGTTCAGACAAAAGACACAGGACATGTCCGGCAAAGTTCAACAGGTTTATTCAGCTCCAGTAACAGCAATGGTGATGCAAGCCATGGCAGCTCTTTTTAAATGGGAGCTGTCCGTGGCTTCAGCCACTGAGTCACGTTTAATTTTCCCTTTCTACCTATGGGCTCCTGATTGATTCCTGTGCCCATCTATTCAATATCTAACACCCCTCCCCTCTAGGCTGGCACTGTCTAATCAGGCTCTTCTCAGACAATGTAATCACGCAAGTAGGCAGGTCGCCTTTGGGCACGACTTGACCTGCATAGTTCAGATAGTTCAGCAGCTTCATGAAGAGAGGTTGGGTTCTGTGCCTCTCCCGTGGGTACTCTTGGAATTATCTCAAACTCGGCTATTGATATGGGCCTATCT